TCATTTGCTCAAATTATGATTGTAAGTCTTCCCGCAATATAAACCGCATGGAGTTTTATTGGTTCATCCTGCGTAATTGTATTCCATTCGTTTTCGAGAATTATTCGCAGTTCTCGCAGTGACTGAGGAGCAGGTATGTGATTTCGTACTTTCCTGCCGAGGTTATCCCATAAGTGTTCGATTGGATTTAAATCTGGACTATTTGCTGGCCAATCGAGTCGATTTATGCCAACTTCATCGAAGAAATCAAGCACTCTTCTCGCAGCGTGTGGTCGAGCATTGTCTTGCATAAACAAGAAGTTGGGTTGATGAAGGGGTTCCGATGAAGGGTGCGTACGGAACAACATACGGAATGAGTGTGTCTTCCACGTATACATCTGCGTTCATATTCTTGTCAAAAAAGTGCAGATCTGTATGAGCATTAGCTGAAATTCCTGCCCAAATCATTACAGTGCCTCCATTGTAGCTATGCCTCTCACTTACCGTACAGTCTGCAAATCGTTCTCCACCGCGACGATAAACTCGTTTTCGTCCATCTGGAGAATAGACACAAAAACGAGATTCATCGCTAAAGAGTACTTTGCTCCAGTCTGCGTAAGTCCAGTCTCTATGCTCAACTGCAAAATTGAGTCGAGCTACGCGATGGTGACATTTAAGCAAAGGTACAGCTGCTGGCCTGCGCGAAAGCAGATTTTGTTCCTTTAATCTTCTCCGAACGGTGTTAACGGATACATTAATGTTGCGGACATCCCTTAAATTGTTTCTAATTTGAACAGATGTTCGATGTCTGTCTCTTAACGAATTTGAAATAATGAAATTGAAATAATGAAATTGAATAAATCGGTCATCATTGTGATTGGTACATCGAGGACGTCTCGAACCAGGCCTTCTATGGTAAGAATTGGTTTGTAAGTACCTGGCATAAGCACGTTGCACAGTTGACACTGACAAATCAAGTGCCTGAGCAACGTACCTTCGACTTCTGCCACCTTCAATTAAAGCAATAACTTGAGCAGCCTTTTCAGGATTTATTGTCGCCATAATCGACGCAATAATTTTGATGCGAAACAATCAATTATGGTTTAAATTGATGAAGTTGCACGAAGCAACGCCCCTCGAAAGGAAAAGATCACGGAAAAAGAAAAGTCGCACGAGGCAGCGCTTATCGGAGTGAACACGTTCGGAAAAGGGAAATTGTTTGTCTTTGTTTATTGTCTTGGCACATTCATTTAAGAAAAATCCAGTCAAGCCAGGCGTTAAAGCCCGGCGCACCGACAGAATCTCAGTCATGCCAGAACGTAAGTCTGGCGTACTGACAAACTCGCGAAGTCCAGCGTACAAGAGATAGTGCCACTATCGGCGGTGGACCGTACGAGGGCCAAAAGCTGTACGAAGGCAATCTCTGATCGTCTCTGCGGGCACTCTTATATGCCCTGGGCAGCTCGAACTCGCGTGCGAGCCGAGGGGCTCGCGCGCGCGACAACCCAGATCGCCGCGTCGCGGCGGCTCCGTGGACTAGGAGCGCCAGGGAATTTCGACGTTCAGGTGGCGTCCAGCGACTCGGCATCCCGCGCGCCGGGCCACCGCGAATTCAGGCGCGATCCTGAACTGCATATTCAAGCTGTGTACCATAATGGCCAATCGTACGGAGAAGGTAGAGAGCTAGGGACAGCTTCGCGATCTAAAGTGTATACCACAATGATCATGCGTAACTGAAGGGTAAAGAATGATAACTTTTGTTAAAAATTAAATTTCCAATTCGCAAAATTGTGTAAATTATTATATAGAGAATAATGAACGCGGCTATTGAAATTATGAAAGAGCCAAACGAACCGCAGAGCCTCTTAGCCCCTTAAGCCTCGCTGAATCGACATTTGTTGCAAATTCGAAATTGAATATCTCGACACCTAAATATCCTAGCAGCAAATTTCCAAAACGGTTTGAAAGTTTTGAAACCGTACTTTTCGAAAGATCTATCGAAATTGTGCGCAACGATATTTTTTCAAAATGGCGGGTGATAAAAAGGAGAACATGAAAAGTTGCTAAAAAAAGGTTCGAGCGTGCGACGGCGCATGGAGCAAAGTAAGTGTCGCAGCTCAATGGGACGAAAAGTACCTAAAAGTATAGAATGTTTTCTTTAAAATACTTCGTTATAGAGCTTGATGCGATACTTATTCACTGAATTATGCAAATTTAACAAGAAAACCGCATTTTTAGCAAAATTTGGGACAACTCAGTGAAAAATGATCACATCGAGTTCGGTAAAGTAGCATTTTAAAGATAATACTCTATACTTTCATGTGCATTTGGTCCCATTACGCTGCGATACCTGATGCACACCATGCACCATCGCAAACGCGGACCTTTGATTATCAATTTTGCATCCTCTCACTTTATCATCCGCCATTTTGAAAAAAGTGGCCGAGCATAATTGCCATTCAGATACTCTTAAAGAGGACGTTTCAAGCTTCATTTTGCATTTCTGCGCATATTTGTATCTTCATTATTTACCAAGTTATGATCACTTGAAATTTTGTAATTTTTTCCCAAATTTTTAGTGTCCCGGGTTTTTTGCGTTTGAGTGTATATATGATTATTGTATACTTAACTTAATATTTTTAGAAATCTCAAATTCAAATTATCTTCTTTTTAAGATATATATTATATAATATATGTACATAAATTTTTAAAAGTAAAAATTATATCGTGTTATAAAAATTTTACACCTTTGTTAATAGTGTCCAATATTCAAAAAAATATCTTTTAAAGGTTATGTTATTCAAAATATTCAAGAAAACCTAGCTTACAAATAAAATTTATCATTCTTTATTAGAACACTGAGTTACATAATTATTTTACTTGTTATTGTAACAAATTAATTATTATAACAATGCAATAAAAAATATTTAATACAAAAAATCTTGGCGCGGTTGCACCAAAAACTATCGAACTAAAACTTGTTTAATACATATATGACAGCATTTTTATTATAATGAAATGTACTTGTAAATTCTCTCTATATATATACGGTGTAATGTTTTATTTAAGTTTATATAGTATTATAATAAATTATAAACCTTCGCTATAGAATATATATATCGAATGTGTATATATTCTACATATTTTGATATTTTTTATTCAAAGATGTTATTCTTATTATAATTGACGAAATGTCAATATCTTTTTTTTCTTTTTTTGGTGACGCAGAGGAAATCCATCATGGATATCCCCGACTCCTTTGGGGGGGTCGGGGGTTATGTCAGACTCTTACTGACTAAAACCCCTGCGGGATGTCTACCTGTCGGACCGAGTGGAGGGGAGTCAGGGGAACTACTCCCGTATTCCCTCCCCAACCCCCCGGCCCCAGGGCTCGTTGCCGAGCCCCCCGTCATCCTTTACCGCGCCCTGTTCCGCAACGTAGGACCGACTGGTTGGCCTTCTGGTGTCGCCTATGGGGTGAGGGGCCATCCGCCCTCACCCCTTACCCCCCTCCTCTAAAGTCGGGGAGGTGGGCTTTTTGGGGGAGTGGGCCCGCCCCAAAACGGGCACCACTCCTCCCTAACCTATCCTGTCCGTGGCCAGGGAGGATCCATCTTCTTCCTAGGTGGAAAAAGAGTCGGATCCCTCCTGCCGGAGTCGGGCCCGATGCGGCCGAGGAGGAGGTCTTGGACCCCCGCTAGTCGGGGCTCCTTCCTCCTCCTCAGCCGGTGTCTCCTCGGACCCGCCTAAATGGTCCCCCCCTTTGGGTTTCCGGCCACCCCGTCGTCGTCGATGACGACGGGTTGTATGTGGCCGGCGCTCCCTTTCGGCGGCCTCCTTCTTGGACATTACGCCCCTACAGAAGGAGGCCGCCGCTTCCCATCCCTCCTCGCTCCCGCACATGGACGCCACCATGCGAGATGTCCCCGTCGCGCCACCCCATGGTCCCGGCCAGGACACGGCGCTCCCCTCCCCAGGCCGGACAAGCGGCCAGGGTGTGGAGCGCCGTGTCCATGAGCACGGGGCAGTGGTGGCATTTGGTTGTGGGCTCCTTTCCTATCTGGTGCAGATGGTTGCCAAAACATCCATGGCCCGTCAGCATCTGCAACAGATGAAAGGACAATCCGCATCCCCTCCTGCCTGCCAATTCTGGCATGGAGGAGGACCGACTTGGCCCTCCTCCATGCCAGGGGGAATACTCCCTCCTTAAGGCACCCGCTTAAAACCCCGCATAAGGCGGCGGATAGGCTCTCTTCGCCGAATGCGAGAGCTCAGACTCGGCCAGGGATCCCGTCGGGGCCGGGGGCTTTCCCCTTGGCCCCGAGCTTTCTCCTGGCCTTGACGAGTTCCTCTGGTTCCATAGCCAGGCCCTCGCTCCAGCTCCCTCCCCCAATTCGGGGGCGGGGATCCTGGACGGGCCCCTCCACTCTCGAAAAGAGGGCGTCGAGGAGCCCTTCAAGGACCCGGCTGTCCAACGACTCCGTCGGCGGGGGCGCCCAAGGGCGGGCTTTGCCCATCATCCTCTTGTACGGGCATCCCCACGGGTCGTCGTCCTGGGAGCTCGTCATTTGCTCCCAGGCTTCTCGTTTTGCCTCGGCGATGGCGGTACGGAGGGCCTTCCGGGCAATCCGGTAGGCCTCCACCGCTCTCGTGACGTCCTCGCCTCTTCCCCGGGTCCGGTACAAGTGTCGTCTGGCTTGGACGGAGGAGTTGCGGAGTTCCGCGATCTCCTCCGTCCACCAGTACGCGACCCAGCGACGGCGAGAGTGGGCCTGAGGCATCGAGGCGTCGCAGGCCGACGCCACGATACCCACCAGTTCCTCAGCCCCCTCCTGGGGGCTGAGGGCCCACTCACCTGGCTCTTTATCAAAGTACCAGGTGGCCACGAGAGCCGCCTTGAACCTATCCGCATCGAATCGACTGAAGGCCCATCTCTTGGGGAGGGGAAAGTCCCCCTTCCCGGGGAAGCGGGGGGCCCGCACCTGTGGAGGTCCGGGGAGATGGAGGGCCCACACTATGTATCAGTGATACGACAGTGTTTCGCCCTCCACCTCCACCTTCCACTCCCGGAATAACCGGGCGGCTGAAGGGGTCGCCCAGGTCAAATCGATGACCGACTCCCCGTTCAGCCGCACACAGGTGCTGGCGGACACCTCGTTTATCAACGAGAGGCCGAGTCCCACTGCCCAATCTATGAGAGCATCGCCCCTGGAGTCCCTTTGCCGGGGACTACACCCCCACCTTTCCGAGTGGGCGTTGAAGTCCCTGGCAATCACGACGGGTCGGGGATGGCTCCTCCGTACCAAATCCCCGATCCCATCGAGGACCCTCTCAATGCGGGCGAGATCTCCCAGACCTTTCTTATTTTTACGGTGGTGAAGATACACTTCCACCACCGTGATGGGCCCGCAGTCGACCGCCACCAACGAGGACCCCTTTGCCCTGAGTACACAGAGAGGGGTCCCCACCGCGGGGTTTGCCACCATGGTGATCGAGCCGTCACTGCTGCCAAACCAGCCCTTGCTGGTATGTGGCACATAGTGCGGCTCGGTCGCCACCCCCAGCCCGGCACCCAGATCTAGGATCCTGTTACAAAACAGGTCCTGAGCCCGGGTGTCGATGCCGAGGTTGACCTGTAGTACCCGGAGGGACGTGAAGGCTAAGCCTTGTTCGCCTCCTCCGGGCTATCTATGTTCACCCCCTCATGGGAGACCTCGGACGGCAGAGCCGTCCCGGTCTCCCTCAAGGGGGTATTGGCCTTAATGTCGGTGGCTACCTGTGCAGGTGCTTCTGAGTGCACAGAGGCTTGGGAGGTCCCTACCTGTTCCCGGCTTACCCCTCGGGAGTATGGGGGGTGTCTACTCGGGGAGTCGGGAATGACACTCCCGCCGACTCCCCACCTAGGGTCGATGGGGGTTCCTCTTCGCCCGAGGTAACCCTCCTCACCTTCTCCCTTCTTTTCGGGGCCGGGTCCTCGTCAGAGTCCCTCTGCCTCCTTGTCTCCGTCCCTGTCCGCTTCTTACGCTCCAGGGACGCGGTCTCCATCCTGGTGTCGGAGGAGGAGGTGTCCCACGCGTACTGTGTCCCCCACTCCTGCGACATGAGGACGGTGGAAGCTACCTCGTCGTCCTCCCCTTGGTCCCTCGACGGTGGCGTCACCTCGGGTGGGTCCCTCGTTGGGAGGGTGTCGGGACCGACACCCCCCTCCTGCAACACCCGGTCCAGGGGGGCCTCCGCGGGAGTTCGGGCATCGCCCGCATCAGTCCCTCCCTTTCCGGTTCGCTTTTCCTCCTCCTTCTTCCCTCCCCTCCTCTTTCTTCGGGGGGGGGGGGTTGCAGGCCGGCCCTCCGACCTTATGGCCAGAGGGCCGCCCCAGTTCGGCGCAGACCGGGCATTTTGCAGCCGCCGTGCAGCCTTTGGCGCGGTGGCTGGGACTACCGCAGCGGTAGCATAGACCGCTGCGGTCGACGGCGCTGGTGCAGCTCTCGCGCACATACCCCCGCTCAAGGCAGCGGAAGCATAGTTGTGCGCGAGGCGGCAGCGCCGTCACCCCGGCGCGGGTCCACCCTACCTGGACCCGCTCCGCGGTAGTGACCTTCGCGGCCACCTCCAGCGGACACCGCACCACCATTGCCCCCACGCCTCGCTGGGAGACGTTGATCCCTCCCGCGGAGATCTCCGCGGGAGTGCATCCCTCAGCGCGGGCTACCGCGGCCGCTACCTCTTCGGCCCCGATTGTCGGGTCCAGGCCGGAGAGTCGCAACGCTGCGACCTTCTCCGGTCTCTGGACCCGAAAATCGGGGCCCTTTTCCGCCGCCAGCTTGCGGAGTTACCCCGCAAGCCGGTCGGCGGGAGGTCCGACCTTGAGGCCAGGCACCTCCACCATCATGGCCCCGTTCAGGGCCTTTCGGATCCTTAAGGGTCCATCGATCCCTAGGTCCTTTGGCTTTATACGGTGCCTGGCCTCGGCCATAAGTTCATGGTAGCGGCCATCGGGGCATCTCACCGTTATGGCTGCCGACTTCGGCGGCTTCGGTGCGCCCGGTCTGGCCGTCCCCTTCCCCGGTCCTACCTTGGAGGAAGGATTTCTCGATCCTCCCTCTCCCTGGGTCTTCTTCCCCCTCCTTGTAACCATCGCCCAGGTCTCCTGCTGTTGTCCGGCTCCTTGGGTGTAGTCATCCGATGGCCCGTTCTCCACAGGTTGGCGGGCCCGCTCCCTCAACGCCGTCGCCGGAACTCTCATTCCTTGGGATTGTTCCTGGGCGCCTGACTTCCCAGGCTGGGGCTTCAGGGGAAGGCTCCCTCCTCTCCTGGCCGCCCTCTCCTATTCCCTCTTCCTCTACAGTCTCCTCCTCTCGCTCTCCCTCTTCCTCCTTCTTGCCCCTTCCCCCTTCTTCTAGGGCCCCGGCTCCGCCCGCCGTGGCTGATCCTAGGCCCGGATCTCTGTGGGGGTCGGCACCTCCCTCCTCCTCGGAGCCGGCGTTGGCACAGGGACTCCCGACGCCCCCAGCGCGTAGCTGCCCCTCCCCTCGATGTCAATGCGGACCGCGACCACCCTAAGGTGGTTCACCCCCGCACCGACGCCGGGAGGGGAGCCCGGCACACTAAGGGCGGCGTCGAGAGCCTCCCGAGCCCCCGCCGGCTTCCACGTCGAGAGGGGAGTCTCCTCCGGGAGGTTGTCGTTGAACGACTTGATCCCCCCGGAGGAGGCCCCCCTCCTTACCTCCATTTCGAATTCCTCCAAGGAGGGAGGTGAAGATGGTCTGGCCGTCATCCTCTTCTTTCTCCTCTTCCTTTTGAGGATCCTAGCATCCCTGAGCTCCTCCTCCGTGGACGTGGAGCCCCTTGTTGCATTTGCATAGGTCCTTCTCCGCCTAGAACCAATGCTGGAGGGGAGAGGGGGTAGTCCTTGAGGCTGAGGGCCACAGGGGCGCCAGCCTTCAGAGCTCTGAGCTCTTCAACCTGCCGCCCCATTTCAGCCCTCATTCTCCGGTTTTCCTCTCTCATCCTCTCCATCTCCTTCCGGAGGGCGGAGGAGGACCCACCCTTCTCTCCCTCCATCACCACCACCCTCGCGATGAGGGTGGCCATTGCCGCCTCGAAGGTGGCCAGGGCGCGGTTGATCAGACCCACGAAAGTATCCTTAAGTATCCTGGACCTTCGGGTGATCATTCTTACCACGCCCAAAGCTCGGCCCACCTCCGAAGCCAGCTCCGCCGCCCTCGCACCCCTCAGCAGCTCTGTGCAGGCCGGGTCTCGGTAAACCTCGGCAGGGCGAGTATCCGACATGGATCTGAAGATCCCCCTGTCGAGGAGGTCACGAGCCTCCGTCTCCAGCCGGCACAGCTCTCTCTCCCTCTTTTGCTCCACCTCTCTCTTCCTCCTCTCCGCAATCCCCACCCCTTTGAAAGTCGTGGCTGGCCTGCCACGCTTTCGCTGGGGGGGGGGGGATCAGGGGAAGGGCAGTCACCTCAACAACTGAGGGCCCTCCACTGCTAGTGTTGTTGTTTGTCACCCTGGTCCTCTTCCTTCCTGTGTTCCTCGGGATGTCCTCCTCCATCTCCGCAGGTGATGCCACAACCGCCGCTGCCGCCCTTGTTGTCCTAAGCGTGGAGGCCCTATTGGGCCTCACCTGGGCGACTCTTGGACTAGTGCAGTGCCTCCCTCGGTGGCTGTCCTCATTGTCGATGGATGCATCACCCTCGCCACCAGGGCGACGGTGCATCGCCTCATCCTTACAGGGATTCTGGAACCCTGTGATAAAATAATGTCGGACAGGATGACTGGCTTACCAGTCGTCCGGCCCGACGTCGCCGTCCCCCCGTTAGCTCCCCCCTTCCCCACATCCGTGGGGGTCCCTCTCTTGGTCCCCGGCATCCCGCTGGGAGCAGGTCCTTTCTTTGAAGAGAGGGGACCTGGCCTGTTGGCCTCTGGTACCGGGGTCCCCTGGTCCGCGGGGATCCCGGACCCCAGAGACTTGTCGGTCCCTCGATGGGTGGTCGCCTACTTCCTATCCGGCAGGCTCACCGTCCCACCCTCGCGGTCGAGAGGGGAGGCTACGTGCCGGCGAGGGCGGTAGTCTTCCCTCAAGTTGTAGCACCCTGGAGGTTAGCCCTCCAGGGCCCACGGCCATACACTCCCCGGGGGGTGGGGAGGAGACCCCTGCCAAGTGGACCCCCACCTTCTCTTCTTCACCCACGCTCACCTTTGAAAAATCACCCGTACTGGGTGGTCGGCTCTCGGACGGGTTATCAAACCCGCCACTACGAAGCCTTGAGCCCAAGGGCTCAGAACCCGAAGGTTCAGGGTTTTGTTTTTTTGTAATATGTAGGTCCATTTTTCGTCCCACGAGTGTGGCAGGAAAGGGGCGTCGACCCCGGGTAGAGCCCCCACATTACTCGGGGTAAGGCTAGAATGTCCCTGGGGTTCGCCAGGTGTCCCAGGTGAGAAACCATTAGCGACAGGTCACGCACCTGCCATTCATTCCCTAGGCGTGGCATGCCTCAACCGTAGGATTACGTGGTATTTTATAGAGGACCCATCTCGTGGTCCAGCCAATTAAGGCAAGACCCCCGGCCCCAGAGACATGATCTAGGGTTATGGTATGATAGGCTAAGGTCTGCCGGGGTTGCCTGAGTCCCCTGTACCAGAGTGCCGAAGCACCCTGACCCCTCGCAATTGTGTCAGGTTATACGTCCTAACAAGTACGGGTTTGCAATCAGGGTTTTCCTTCCCCTATGTCAATGATATCTAATTTGACTTTAAAAAACTATATCGAACTAAAACTTGATATCACTTAACTACTATATATCACTATATAGTGAAACTAATATATCATTTCTTTTGTACAGTAGAATAGTGTTGCAGAGTTTTATTATAGTTCTAAGTTTTACTTGTAAAAACTTATGTATACATATATACATTAAAAAAATAATTTGAGTTTGATACTTCTAAAAATAACACAATACGTGTTGCGCTTGTACTTGGCGCCTTTTTTTACCTTTTTGTTTAAAAAGGTAAGTTTTATATAAGTTTTACTTGTAAAATCATATGTATTATCTTTAAGTTATACTATCGTTATCGTATATATTATCTTTAAGTTTTACTTGTAAAAACCTGTTATGTACACATATATACCTTTAAAAAAATATATACCTTTAAAAAAAATTTTGAATTTGAAATTTCTAAAAATAACACAATACATATTGCACTTGTACTTGGCGCCTTTTTTTACCTTTTTGTTTAAAAAGGTAAGTTTTATAATAAATTTTACAATTGTAAAAACTTATGTTGCGTACATTTTTTGTCGTTAGGTTTTTCTTGAATAATAATAACTTTTAAAAAGATATTTTTTTGTAATATTGGATACTATTAATAAACGTGTTAAAGTTTTGCCATGAAAAGAATACAAACATTTGTAGCGCCTCTGGGCCAGTGTTTTTTATTTGCGTATCATTAGCTCCAATCCAATCAGATTTACCTTCTCTACATATACTTGTGTAATGACCGCTTGCAATGTACGATTCATGATGAAATATGGCATTCTTATACTTTATACAATTGTCCTGCTGCTGATACTTTAGTTGTTGGGGCAGCACGCAGAGTAAATTTGTTTATACATATATGTACCATATGTGGTACCATGTGGTATACAGGGTATTAGAAAAGTCTAGAAACGGTCAAATATCTCGAAAATAGAATGTTTCTGAGAAAAATGTTTCCAACCAAAGTTGTAGGGTTTTAAAAGTTCTATTGAATTATGATATCCGTTTGACCTTGCGTAAAGGGATCAAGGCAAGGTCAAAGCCAACATAATTTTTTTAAATGGAATACCCAATTTTTATGACACAATGTTAAAGTTGACAGCGAGACGTTTCCAAAACATTACTTGATGATCTATTTTTCTTAAGGATTGTCTGAGTTATGAGCTTTAGAATTTACGGTGCAGCCAATATTAGTATTATCCAGGATGTACCTCGTGGAGGTTGCATGATCGAACTTTACACCCCCCCCCCCGCTGTGTATGTGTGTGTGTGTGTGTGCGT